CAAAAACTTTTTCAAATTCTTTTCTTTCAAATATATAAAAAAAATTATATACAATTTATATATAAAGATAAACTGCAATTAACAAATACCTTTTCTTTTTTGCTAAGCAAAGAAACAACAACAAAACAATACACATTCGTACAGATCACTTGTTTTATTCACCTTAGAGATTGCAGCACTTGGTGAGGTGCAGGAAGAAATTTGGTGTAATAAGAATTTTCACACGACCGTACAGCATTTTTTTTTTTTTTTTTTTTTAATTTTATTTTTTATTATTTTTCATAATTTTTCTCATTTTCCTTGTTTGGATAATGTCTTTTAAAATTTTTTTTCTTTTTCAGTTTTTTTCCTTTTACTGTTCAGGTTTTGATAGAACAAAATGTGTATGAGATGAGAGAAGGGTGGTGGGGGCGAGGAATAAGAAGAGGAGGGATACGGGGGAGGAATTGGGGTACCCCAGGGAAGACAAAGTTCTCGTCACAAACTATATTCACACCCTTGTAAATATTATAGCAATGGTTTAAGTTTACAAATAACATAATTATAGCAATAATAATAATAAATAACTTTTTTGTTTAATTGCAATTTAACGGAGGTTTTGTTTCTTTTCCTCCTTTTCTAAAAGATGGTAAGTAGATGTCACCATGGTTAAAGAAATGAGCACGTTTTATTTATTTATTTTATTTTTTTTACAAGCCCATGTGTTTTTTTTTTTTTTTAAAAAAAAAGTTTGGATTTCACATTTAAGTGGAGAAAAAATATTCATTTTTATCAAAAATTTCTCCTGACATTAATCTTGAACCCTCATGATTTATTTAACAACTGTGGGACCATAGGTGTCTCTTGATTCTCTCTCTTCCCCACCCCCATCGTTGTTGGCAGAGTTTGAAGGGAAAGAATAGAGAAAAGGGGTCTACCTTGAGGGCACTTGGCCATAGAAAGCTGTTTGTGACCAAACTCAACCATCCACCCACCCACCCACCTACTTGTTAAACTTGCCAAAATTATACTTGTTTTTTCTTTTTTAATTTCCTTCTTTCTTTCTTGGTGGATTGGCTGCAGTAAAACATTATGTATAAATAAACAAAAAAAAAAAAAAAACTAGTGATGGCAAGTTAATATTGGGTAAATTACTGAGGAAGAAAGAAAATGTCTGAAAATAGGGGAACATTAACAGTGAGGAGAGAACAGATACCTAGAGGAGAGCAACAGGGATGAGGCAGCTGGGCAGAGAAACAGGACAAAGTAAGCAATTAAAAATGTATACAAAAAGTTACATTGCCAAAAAATATATGTATGCTTTAGGACAAATATTTTCAACATAAAAACAAGCCAAATATACTAAATAAATTTGGCAAAGAGTTTAGAGTTAGAGCTGCAAGGGAAAACAATTTAGGAAAGAGAGACTTCTAATGGATTTCTAGGTTGTATCATATCAGTGCCCTGTTCCAAGTGTTTTTTAAAGATGCCCCCCCCTCCCATTTTTGATTTTAGCAGTAAAGAACATGAGTTTTATCAGGGCTTTCATATATTTTGTATTTGTTAGTTGAAATATACAAAGTTCTTTACACAATGAATTTCCATTTGTATCTTCATCAAAAATAGGCAAGCAGTTTTTTTTTTTTTTTTATGAGACTCCCTCCTCCTTTTTCTGACCGTATAAGACATAAAAAAAAAAATATGCTCAAATCCAAACTTAAAATGCAGTAAGGAACTTTTGAGCAAAAGGGTATATTTATTTGTTTTTTGGGGTTTTTTTTAGATGAAATACACAAGCCCTGAAATTCTATAGTTGCAATTTCAAAAGGACTTGGTTAGAATCCAATGGAATGAAAGTGTAATGAGTAACTACTATAGCACTTCTACGATGGAAGGGAAGAGAGATAAAAAGACAAAACAACAAGCTAGAAAGCAGCACCTTCATACAGAAAACAAAGGTTTGTACTCAAGCACTGAAATTCAGATCTATCAAGACATGCTGCTCATATCTCACACTGTCCAACCCAATAAAAGGTTGAACTCTGTAAAACTCCCAGCAAGCTATCAACCAATGATCAGGGCCCTTGAAATGAGATGATTGATTAAAAGAATAAAACAGCTGGTGACTTTTCCAACTTCTAGAAAAACAAAAACATTGATGGCATGTAAGGTGGGATGGGGGAGAACTCATGTTTGCACCTATTGCAGGAAAAACTTGAAATGTTTAATAATAAAAAAAGCTACCAAGTTCTTGCTGAAGATAAGGTAATTGATAGAATAGGGTCATCCAGAGCAGCTAAGTAAGTTTCATGTACCCTGATTAAAGATAGACTCATATTTCTCCATTGCAAATGGTATGATAATAATAATGCATTATAAAACATTCACCTCTGACAATAAAAAGATACATACAATGTACTACGATTTACATCACATAATAAACAAAAAGAGGGTGAAACATTCTGCCTAAAAAAAAAAAAAAAAAAAAAATAGCAACAGCTGATAGGAAAAATTTCAGTTTAGCCTCTAACCATTTTGCAACTGAGTTACCTCCCTTAGATTTGCTGAAGGCTATATGACTAAATATAATCAATTTCTACTTATGAAATTGGAGCAAAGGCTGAAAGATTGGGTAGACATCAATTAAAGGGGGTGAGGGAGAGACCAATGCATAATAAATATTAAAAAGCAGATCAAATTAAAATGGAGAAAAACAAAAGCCCATATCAGCTATTATAAGGGAAGATAGATTTCAGAATGGGTTTCTTTTTTTTTTATTTCTGCTGAAGAATCAATCAAGTTAGGAATTTCCCTGATGTCACAACTTGGTAGAGATTAAAACAAATTCTTGGTTGAAAAGCAAGAGTCATTCCCTTCCAGCACCCCCCCCCCCATTATTATTACATAATATTTTTTTTTTTTTTGGCAGATGAGACTAAAATCAAGTAGAATGATACACTGAAATGTACAAAAACTATCACTCTCTTAAAATATTTCATAGCAATATTAATGATGATGATGAAGACAGCTGAAGAAACCTTATAAATATTCATTCCAGAAATGTTATTTCCGGCAATCCTTCCACAACAGGAATTGGTAATGTAAGTCATTTCATAAAATAGGAATGAATTTATCATCTAAAATCCACTATTTAATAATGAAGAATAAATTTATTCCTTTTTAGTAAAAGGTAAATTTATTTATACTGTAAGAAGAAAAAAAATTTTTTTCTTTTTTTCAAATTTGAATACACTGATTACGGTATGGCAATATTTTACATAGATCTGATTTTCTTTTGTTAAATTTTGAGGATTTTATAATTTTTTTTTGTCAATTTAAAAACAGAAATGCAACACCTAACTGTTAGATATTAAGAAATGTTGAAAAAGCAGTTCAAGTTTTGTATATCCACTAAGGGCAGACTTTTTTTTGTAAAGTAGAATATAGAAAATGATTATGTATAAAACTTATTGTATTTGTCATTTAAAATCTGTGACAAAGGGAATTGTCTTTTACTAAGTTAAAACTCTTAAGTATCTTGATTAAATTTTTCAGAATGCAAAGAGAAGGGAAAATGTTTAGAGGGGGGAGGAAAGAGAGAGAGAGAGAAAAAGTAGATTTAATAACAAAAGCAGCCACCAGTCTAAAATTATGAAACATCTGAACCATCAGTGAAATAAAAGTATTAACATTTTTTCAACAAATTAATGTATTTTATTGCATGTATGCTAGCAGCATTGACAAAAACAAGGGAAAAATACAACTACCAAGACTGATAAAGCAGATCTCAAGGAAGTTGCAAGTGAAAACTTGTTTCATTTCTGTCAGCTCCCTCCTTTTCCTACAAAAAAAATGTCTATAAGAGAATCATTTGTATGGCAAAGCTAAATCCACAATTTGGCTCCAAAACAAATGAACATTAAAAAGAAAGGGAGGTTAATCACCTGCCAATAGTCTAGATATTAGTTTTGCAAGTTTACTCAAACTGACAAATCTCAATTTACAGCAGAGATAGACATGAATGTGTATATGTTACATAGGCAATGTTGGTTAAACAAAAGTAAGTAAGGAAGAGGGACATGACAGTGGGACAGCTGCAATCAGTCTGTGCACCTGACAGACAGGTGCACTATGTACACATTCTAGTAAGTACACAAAATTAATTGCCTCTTAATAAATCCAAAAATATATCAATTAAAGAGATAAAATAAATATGGCTCTTTCCTTTTCTTCCCCCGTCCTTTCAAAAGAAATCCTGAGAATGGTCCCATGCAGGAGATCTTGCTGCCTTTGCAGCTGCTGGGGTCAGCAGATTTCTTTCTCTCTCTCTTTTTTTTCCTCTTTGTTTCTTTCTTCAATTTCTAAACAGAAGAGAAGAAGGAAAATGGGGTGACTGTATTCCTAGGCTTACCATATGCAGTGTTCATAACAATAATAAAATACTGAGCCACAATTGTGAAGTCATGATAACCCCCACCCCCAAATGCTGGCCGTACAGTGGTCATTTTACAAAGCAGAAGACCATAGACTGGCGAGCAAAAATAAAGAGGGTTAAAGAAAAAAAAAAGGTAAATAAATAATATTAAAAGAAGAAAATTACTGAATGGGGTTGCCAGCTTGAAATTTTAATTATAGGTCACTTAGTTATCTGTCATTGAGATTGGTAGGAAAGAGACAGACAAAGGTAATAGGAATGAGACAGAAGATATTGATTGGTTATTTTATTAATCTCTGCTGTAAGGAAGATTTTTTTTGTTTTATTTTTGTTATTAGTGACTATTTTCTTCTTTTGCTTGTAAAAACAAATGGAGGAGAGGGGCAGCAGTGGCAGTGGCAATGGTGGTGATGGCGATGGCAGATCAAACATTTTTTTTTTTCTGTGTGTGTGTGTGTTTTTCCAAGATTAGAAAGTAAACAGGAGGAGGAGAGAAATAGTGGGGGGAGATTTGAGTGTGGATGCCAGGGCCAATCGGTCACCACAACAGCAGGTGTATCATAAGCTGGTTACTTCATTATTCTGTTCACCAGTTAGTCATGCCTGGCTTGTTCAATGTCATGAAGTAGATTTGGCAAGATGACCCAGAGCGGACAGATGAGAAGAACACCTGAAAATACAAAATAGATATCAACATGTCATCAGTAATGTCAAATTGGATATTACAAAATCAACTATTTTGAGTCTGATTTCACTTCTTTACAATTTATATTAAAAAAAAAAAAAAAAAAAAATGATATCTAACTTTTGTCCTTGCTCTAATTTAAAAGGTTGAAGAGTAATAACTTCCTAAAATCATGTAAGACTTTGCTCAACAATTATCTAGAACTGTGCTAAGCAGAGACATTATATCTGGGAGCCAGTCATCTCTTATAAACCAATTGTACAAAATATATAAAAAGTTACAAACTAAAATTTTTAAAACTATTAACTTTTGCATTGGCAGTCAGTTGTCTAGTTAATGAGTTAATACAGAATCAGTTTTAAAAGAAAAGGTTATTTGAAACATCATAATTTACTTAATCTCATGATTGGAAAGCAAACATTCTAACCACTTGGCCATGTGTCTGGGTTCAAATCTCACCAGGGTTGATTTGTCAGAAAGATGACTTCTTGATGTTACTGGCCTTAGGAAGTGAGCCCAGCATGTGGGACATTTAGAAAGTGGCTGAAAACCATACCACAAGTTGACATGAGACTTGTGAATGAAATTGGGTAGACAGAACTATTTGGGAGTCATGCTAGCACAAAGTCACAAGTCATTGTGACCAAGGGTTTGAGTGTAACAAAGTCACAAGTCATTGTGACCAAGGGTTTGAGTGTACTGTTGATCACACCAAATAATGCACTCTCTCTCTGCTCAGCATAGTTGCAATATAAACCACAGGTGGGCTTTGTGAGTGTTGAACAAACACAAAAGTGCCTGAGCAGGCGTCTGCAATAGAGATTGCCTGTCTACTAGCTTGCCATACTTGGATAAAAGCGGCCAGCCATTAATTTACTTGATAAAATGGAGACAGAAAAATGTTTACGGTTCCATCAACTTAAAAGAAAATATTTCTTACATATTGTTAAAAAAAATATTTTTGCTTTCATTTCAAAGAAATAGAATGATATAAGACAAAAATTGAATATTTTACTTACAATGTTTAAATTTTCTATATCATATTCAATTTTAGTATCAAAACTTTTGTTGCCTTAACGAAAGGAACAAGCAACAAGAACAGTATGTAATGGAATAATATTGAAGAGGAAAGAAGTAGTCATTCAACAAGAGTTAATTCTGGTTTTGCTGAAGTCTCTTGGATACAGTGGATCACCAATCAAACTTGCCTATGTCAAGTCCGAGATAGACTGATTATTGATAATAAAAAAATGACATACTTAATATTGAGATCATAACCTTTTACAGTGAGGTATGTCAATTCAAGATAATTTTTAAATTCTTGTTAATGTATTAATAACTTTTGTTCTAAGCAAATAATCATACTTAATACAAGTCTTTCTAATATGAGTTTGAAGAGTTTAAAAAAAAATAAATCATTCTTTTTCAAAATTATATCAAAGCATCATTTCTCTGCACAACATCTACATAGATTTTATAATAATTTTCTTTTGTCTTGACATCTTTTCTTGTGTCAACAACAAGTACATAGTCTGTTTTTTTTTTTTTTACTGCCTCTGTTTGTAAATTTGCACACATAGCTATGTTCTTGCTTGCACCTGCCACAGATAAAAGAAATAAAATGAATGAGGAAGGCAAATTACAATAGAGTTACCTTATCGTTTCGTTCACATAAGAATTTAAGTTTCTGTGCTTTTTTGTGCATGAAGACCCCATTAAGATGGCCAGTTTCAGCAGCCCGAATCTCTATTGCTTTGTTGCCCCAGCCCATGATCTGACCTGTGCTGATATAGGCTGAAAAAAAAAAATGAATATATTTATATATGTATATATATAAATGAGAGATTTTCTTGTAGAAATGTAAAAAAGAGACAACAAACTATTTTTCCTGTGTCTTAAGAGGTAACTGATATGTATCATGTCATGTGTAATTTATAAGGTTAATGTGCAGAAAATGGAATGAACTGATTATTTCAATTCTGACTATGGCTTTTGCATTCACTTTGCATGGAAACCCTTTGGAAAAGCAAGAATTCATACTCCCGCTGGTCAATAATATGACAGACATGTTATCCTACCAAGGATAGAGAGTGAAGTCTAGAAGGCAAAAATCTGAATGTAAAATTGTGGAAGATGCAATGGGAAACTACTCCACTCTTTTCCAAGAACAATCATAGCAATTCTTGATGAAGTAAAGAAACTGTAGCAAGACATGGATTTTCAAAAATAAAAACAAGTTTCTCCTTTTGCTGTAGGACAAAGATATATTTACATATTATGTCAAGTGTAACAAGTTTGTTTATTTCACATAATTTTAAATAATCAGCATAGGAGTCCTAAGAACAAAGCAGAGTGTTATGTTTCTTCTGCTAAAAGAAATAGAATTTTTTTTTACCATGTAATAAAGAAACAGGTTTACATATGGAAATTTGGAACAAAGCCAATACTAATTGAAGTGTTATTAACAAAACTAAAAAAAATAAAAATAAATTTCGGTCATTGCAATTTCTTACCCAAATCAAAATTTATTCAGTTACTTTGAAATTCTAAACAGTTTATTAAAATTATTTTGTGACATTTCAAGATGACATTGGTTATGTAATATTGAGTATTTTAATGCTTTTTCATCAGAATAACACTTATTTTGAACAAAATTACATTTCTATCGCTTCTTATAAACAGATGCCAAAGATAAATGTACATTCTTGTAGGAAATTTAGACTTGCAAATTAAAGTCAACTTTGCTATGCACATCTTTCACTGAAGTGACAAAAACATACTGTTTTCATTTTTACCAGATATTAAAAATATATGCATCTATATTTATGACTTAAACTGCTGATTTCCCTAAGATACAACCAATCATAATAATGTGTTTTATAAAATGCTACAGTTAATTTTTTTTTTTTAACATACAAAGTTGCAAATTAAGAAAAAAAAATCCCTGAATTTTCATCAAATCAATCAATAATTCGTCTGTATCAGATAATATATTTCATACACATGCAATATTCACAAAATACTTGTAACATTTTACAACTAATCTTAATATGTTGGCTGATAGTTAAGGTGATTAGAATAATAAACTGATGGCTGTGTGGTCAAAAGATCCAATCTTTTCTATAAAAGAAACGTGTGTGGGGGTAGTTATTAATAAATAGTAATGTGATATACATAACCTTGCAAGTAATTTTAAAAGAGGGGTTTCATTTGGCAAACTGACAAATATATATAAGTTCTCTTAATAGTTGGAAAGAGCAAAAAAGAAAGCAGCACAAAGACCAAATTCACTTGCCAAAAACTTATAACATATGTTGTTTATTGAATCAAGACAGAGTTGGTAGAATTTTCAATCAAGAGCAAGCATCTAACCTTTAAAGTATGAGTTTTTGGGCTTTAAACCTAAATAACATGAACATCAGCTTATTAATAGGCAGATATATAACTTTGTGTATTTAAGATTTTATAAGCATATACATGTAACTATAAGCAAAAACCTAGAACAAAATTTAATTACATTAAACTTAAAAAAAAAAAAAATGCTTATATAAACAAGTATCCAGAGCACCTTCCATGAAGTTTAATTCTTAAGATGACAAGAACTGTGCTTTTCTGAATGCTGTAGTAACATTGTATTAGATGTGTGTCTGTTTTGAGGAGAGAGAGAGAGATGTGGGAGTTATGGTAACATCAGTTGTGGTGGTGGTAGGTGCCAATGCAGATGTGAATAATCAATAAGTGGATTGTAGCTCACCATTGGACCCATCCCTCACCAGAAGAGGCTTGTGGGATGGAGTTAATCACAGTCAACCTTTATCAAATCTAGATTTTGCTTCTAAGTACATTGGCAAACATATGTACATCTAGATACATATACGGTATGTTTAACAGTGTAGCTGCATGACCATCCTTAAACTGGTAGCAAGCCTATTTGTAGCACACATTTTAATAAACTTCTTCAAGTTCTGAATATTCTTGGGTGAATCTTTCGTTTGGAATTCTTAGAATTTAGTAACAATCACAAATGCTTCATGAACATTGATTGAGCAAGTTCACATCTTGAATCCAATTAGGAGATCTTTCATAGCAAATAAATGTCCACTAAACACAATTCCACTTGGCTTTGCATATATTCAAGGACCATATTGTATTCGTTCCAGACTTTGAAGTAGTTAACATGAAATCTCAAATATTTCAGAAATGCCAATTCAGATGAATGAGAAACTAATTTAAACTGAATAGGTCGAGAGAGAGAGAAAATATGTTCACTTTGAACATAACTGATATTTTATGACTGACTGCAAAGGATCTCTACATGAGAAATGAGCAAAGCAATCTCCATAGAGAATTACCAACAAAAAAAATATATTGTGCAATATCTCAGATACTTCAACACAATATTAGAAAATCATCCATTCAATAAAGATATTTTTCTATATTATCCATGTTATTGCTGCAATATTACTGACAAATATATTGTGCAATAAACCAATCATAGCCAATAAAAACAGTACTTCATTATATTCACATAGATTTTAGAATTGTACAATATTATTTCTCAATCAAATTTCTTTTCTTTTAAAAGTTAAAAACTCAAAATTAAATCTAATTTTCATAGCAACAAAGGGACAATATTCTAGTGTCTGGCCAGCTTAATTGACACATAAGATGAGATCAAATGAAACTAGCAAGAACTAGTCATATGATCTTGGAATTTACTTATTTGGTGTGCCCTTGGCAACCAGATGGAAACCTTTCCAATATCTGCTTCAGAAGAGTCCAAACTACCTAGTCCTTGAATCAAAATGAAAAAGTTCCAAAGTTAAATTTTGATTGTTGTAGAAGAGAAGTAAGAAATAAATCAAAGATTTGTTCTAAATCCTATGAATAAAACAGACTTATTACAATTGAATGAAAAGATGACATGGGAAAGAATGAAAATCTGTCCAAGATTCAGTAATAATTCAAACAGATAAATGAATATAGACAACAATCATATTGGCGTTCCATTAAAATGTTTGTCTTGTGACTCACTTTATCCCTGAAATGCCATCAACAGCTGATGCAGATCTGTTGAGGTGAAACTGGATAATGCAATAAAGAATTTACATGCACAAACCTTTTGCTGAAATCAACTATTCATTAATCCTATGGATTTCTCTGAATAGAATCATTTTTAAATTAAATTGTTATGAAGAAACTACAGTCAGATTTTACAATTATGAAAAACCAAGTTATTTTTTAATTTCAGATATATAAAGATTGCCATTTGTTATAAAGATGTAACCTTAAAACAGAAACAAGATATAAAGTTATTGAGTGACAGGAACACAATGTTAAAAAAGTTGGAGAGAGATTATAGAACAAAAAAAAAAAAAAAAAAAAAAACCATGAATGTTGCATAAATGATTTGAGAAATAAAAGGATAATAAGTAAGAAAAATGAATAACAGTTGGGTGTTGAAAATGTCAAGAGAGAAAAAAAAATGCAAAATATTAAGAATTTCTAAAGAAATGAAAGCAGTCGAAATACTACTTTTAAGTAAACACCAAAAAGTGAAATGTTGGGTGAAGTAGTAGATGAAAAACTTGTTTCAACAGTAATTTTTTATGATGAGTGGAGAGCTATGTTTGATAGACTTGGTGACTAGGCTTGAGGTTGAGTCCTTATTGGAAATAACCAATAGAACTTAGAAGACAACAAAAGGGAGGTGGAGTAATGTTTCAGATTAGTATTATAGATAGCTTCTGTTATAGTGAAACACACCTATTCTATAGTTAATAGACTCTCCCACCTATAATAAGTAGGAGTCGCAAAAGTCACTCAGTGAGTTGGTCAGTCAGTCGATGCCGGACAACCGTTAGTCGGATACTAAAGTATCAGCGACCACCACTAGATTTCTCTGCGTCATTACCTATTATATCAAGTTCCTAACGTTTTGTACGTCGGACCTATTTTAGGACCAACTTAGTACAAATACAAGCCTCCACTGTGAAACCACTCTACAAAAGCTTCAAAGTTGATGAGGATATAAAGATTATAATTTCTTCAAATTCTAAAAATCTATTTATTACTCACCTTGCCAAAAAGGTTTCAAATACATCAAATTAATAGAATGGTTTTCAACTTCTCCAGATATTAATCCAATAGAAAATGTTCAGTACAAGTTATATAAGAATGGAAAACAATATTGAAGCAAAGAAGATCACCAGGAAGCAATAAGAACAGTTGCATGTTATAATTGAGATAGTAGAAAGTTAACAAAATCAATGATCAATTGATAAAGGCTATAAAATGTCAAGAATCACATAGTAACATGGAAAATATTTATTTAACTCATTGGTATATTGTTTTTATCAAATATATCCTACAAATTTTACCAACAGTCGCATAATATCAATTATATTGTGAAAACATTAACTTGCATTGTCTGAGATAGTGTAGAGTCTGTTTCTTTTATCACTTCTTGAGTTTGCATCAGAAAGGCTTAAAAAAAACAAAACAAAACAGACAGACAGACACACAGCATTGTATGGAAACAATGTCTCCTCTAATAATGAATGAATGGCATTGACAGAACACAAATTACTTCTAAAATGTGAGTGGAGAGAAAAATAAAAAATAAAAAATAGTTTAGCTTCAAATGCAGATTCTCAGATCTATCAGGATTTTTATGAACTTGTTATATTGCTTTTTGACAGAATCATGCAAAAGGAATAAAAAAGGTATTTAAAGTTATAAGGGTTTTTAAATGAAATGAAATTAGAAATAGATCCTTGTTGACATGTATTCACCTTCAGACACATCTTGCTAAACACAACAAAATTATAACTTTTAGTATTTGGGAAAGAGGGGGAATGATATTTTGTCTTTCTAATTTATTGAGAATTCAAAAACAACAGTCTAGACTAAGAGAACATTCTGAACTTATATGAAAGTCACAGAAAAAAAAAATCTCTTAATTTTTCTATTATGTCTTTCAAAATGAAAGACAACCAAAAATTAATTCCAAAAGATAGCACTAAGTTTGGTTCCATCTCAGTCAGAATTTTCTAACTTTAAAGGATGTGTAGGTTGTTGTTAAAATAGAATCATGCCTTGTAAAATTATAAAACAAAGCTTTTATATAAGAAACCAAATATTAGAATTGGTTCATTATATATATATATATATATATATATAACTGAATCACTGACCTTAAATTACTAAGTGTATTTCAAGGAAGGGATCATTTCAGTACCTAATATTTGACTATAAATTACATGAATAAAATAAATTAAAAAAAAAAAATCATACAAATTTAGAAAATCACTGATGTTTGAAACAAATTTATTCTTTGTTATTAAACAAAGCATTTTATAGAAATATTATAAAAGCAACAAAAAGAAATTCATCAAATAGTGATGCCTGATTTCAAAAGAACACAATGAATCTTTATTTCACAAACATTGACCTTTCAAAATTTCTTTTTCCAATTTCTATTAGAATTAAAACTTTACAGAATCTGATTCTCAAGTGAGAGAGAGGGGCAATTAATTTTATTTTTTAGTAAACAATGTTGCTAATTAAGATCAGAAGTTTTCATTTCAGAATATAAAAAATACACTTTTATACAAAGAGATAGAATAAATCAGCTGCTACTTACCAACTGAGGTTGGTAGTTCTCCCCACTGCAAAACCACATTTTTAGTGATCTTTCCATTGGTGTTCACATAAACACCTTCATCTAAAATTGACAAAAAATAAAAAAAAAAGTAGATAAATGAACATTATTAAAAAAAAACAATTAAAAAGTAGTAGCAAACAGTTTTTAAAGAGACATTTTTGGAGAAAGACATTTTAATCAAAGCTTATGGGAAATTTAAAAAAAAAATCAGTCTGCCTCTTGTAAACACTAAATAATGCAGTTTCTAAGGATGAAAATAAAATATTTTACACTAATCTTCACTACTTTAAACCAAAAGTACATATAAAATATATTAAATGGGTACATATATTTTCCATAGCCAATTTCTTGAAACTTAGACAAAGCCATTACTAAAAAACACCATATAATTATTTAGTTTCCATTATATTAACATATATAAAAAAAATCATGCATGGATTTCTTTTATTGTTATCACATTTTTTTTGTTAATTTCAATTCTTCCTTTAAATTAAAATTATTTTCTCCATAACTAAACGAGCAGAAATAACCTCTAATTACTGTCCATGTTTTACAATGAATGTTGTAATTAACTTTATCAAATTCATTTTGAAGATATTGTCATTTTGACAAGCAATTTTTTTTTCTAGCCTTAGCAAAGATGGTTCAACCTTTAGGGCAGGATGAAATTAAACTCATAATGAAGTTTTTTTTTTTTTTTTGTGTGTGTGTATATATATATATATATATATATATATATATATATATATATATATATATACATACATACACACACAAAATGCTTTCACCATTTATAAATTATATTCTACCTGACAGTTTCAAAGATTATATTTATTTATAACTAAGAAGAAAAATCCACTGGGAAACATAAGGGGGATGGAAAACTAAAACTAATATAAACCTTTTTAATATTCAACTTCAAAGTAGTAACTGAAATCTAATATTCATATATCAATAAGATGTTATAGATTTTGGTTTTGTTCCTTCACTTCATTCCATTGATGTGTTTTTATTTTTTTTATCATCATTTCACCCTAAGCAAGGAAATAAAGCCACTAAGATGCAAGGGGTTACTGAGTGTTAAAGAATACAAGAAAAAATAAAAATACTATTAAGGAGAGAGAGAGAACAATAAAAGAAGAATTATGACAGAATATAACTATTGATATTGCATTTAAATTTCTAAAGATCAAAGTTGCCTGGAAAGCAAGAAGCCAGAAGAGAGTTCCACAAGTGAAAAATACAAGAGAAGAAACTTAACATAGAAGCTATGGTTACATCTAGCCATCCCACCACTAAAATGATGACACTTTGCTGTCAATCTAGTACTAAGCTTAAAGTCTAGGTACCATAGAGGAAAATTCAACAGAACAATTACCATGAAAGTAGTTATAGAAAAGGTACAGGAAAGCTACATTATGGTAGTGGGAAAGTGACTGAAGTCGAGATGCCAGGTCAGGATCAATAACACTGCAGATTCTTTGGATTTTATCAAGAATCTATAAATATATAGTAGAAGCACCAGACCAGATGTCACAGCAATATCCAAAGCAAAGACAAATAGTAGAGTTATAAATATAAAAAGATAAATCTACCATTCATCTTTACTATACAAATATTTCTAATGCATTGATTGAAAGCATAAGTGTTAACATTCAGGAATTAATATTGAGTAGATTCAATTTACTTAAGGTTCAAATCAACAATTACTTTAATGTCAGTTTAAAAATGATCATTGAAAGCATGGACTTTTGCTTTGACTGATTCAAACTAGGACAAAGATTTTTGTGAAATTACTTCCTGGTTGGGTTTATTTCAAACTTCTCAGCCAGGAGTTACAAAATCATTTTCGTAGAAACTAAATTAAGCTAATGTGTGAATTCTTTCTTAAAACTGCTGGATTATGAAAAGACTGCCTCAAAACTGAGCAAAAGCAACTTTCATGATTGAGATGTCTGAAGACATTTCCTGGCTACAATTGTTTATTTCAAAACAAAGATCAGTAATCAGTCATGTCCAAATGGTTAACAAATCTTTTACAAAATTGCTTTTGTGGGGAAGCAAATATAAACCTTGTAGAGTGATTTAATTATTTGCCTTTCTCTAAATGGACAAACTATTCCTGTCTTCTTTGATCTCCTGAGTGATTGTTGCATTAGAGACTTCTTCAAAATCTGAAGAATGAAACAAATCTATATTTAAACATCAATATTTGTTTGTTGATCTCCTACAGAGAAATCAGATTACTTTTATTTACAAAGTTCTTCAGTGCATTTCTTTAGGCATAAAGGACCATTAAAATAACTTATCTCTAAATGTCTGCAACCTCTTGCTTCTAGTGCTTCTACTTTTCATTTTACTTCACAAAAAAAAAAAAAAAATTCTTGGTAACCAGTCTTATCTGATCTCTGGTTACGACAATTAAAAGGTTTTAATTTCATTATAACAACTTATTTGTGATTCAGAAATGACATTTAGAAAATCTATTTAAAAATGACCTTGCTACTCACAGCTAGCTACACCTTAGATGATGACTTCTATATGTTGTGTCCTTTCAGAATGTGGGTGATCATGACTCACCACAACTTCCTATTTGTTCTTGCTTTTAGTAACCTTTGTCTTTTCACTATCATTCTCAGTCCGTGTTTTGCCAATCATTTACACAAACTCATTAGGCAGGATATTCATTGCTTTCATCTGTCTTTCTTGCCTTCAATATGCCCTGTGAGTGTCAATTTCTTCAAGTCTTCTTTCCTCATTATGTTCCCTAGGAATTTCAACTCTCTGATTCTAAGTGTCATTTTGTTTCTATTTTCCCTAGAAATTTATCATTGCACACATGTTCAGTCCATGGTATTCTCAGCATCCTCCTGTAGAACATTTATGTAGCCTCAGGTCTCTTCTTTACCTGTGAGGAGATTGTCCACCATTAGCTGCCATATAGGAGAACTGATATTATATAACAGTTCAGTACTCTTTTCTTTGTTTCTAACAAAATTTTACTGTTTCTTAGCAAATTAGACTACTTTTGTAATATAACAATCAAGCCCTAAAAGTTAAAACAAAAATTGTCATGAGATGACTGCGAGAAAATTATACAGTTTCCTAAAAATAATTTTAGTTCATATTTCATTAATCATTGTATTATATATTACTATTTACATACTTATTCAGGCAAATATTTTTTTAAGACTCTGAAAAAAATACTGGTTATAACTTATGCATATCTATTTTATAAGTAATCTTTCTGAATTAATCAAATATGTATAAAATTTACAATACCTAAATAGTCAAAATATCATTTATTATTTTCTTTACCCCTACTCAATGTTACTAATTATCAGTAACTACTTTAAAGTAGCCTGACAAGTGCAGACATTGGCTATTCCATCAACCTGTGGCATGACAACATATTAGCCATTGTTTATAACATATCTCCAAGACCGATACTAAGTAAACAAAGTTTTAAAAAAAATTAAATATGAAAATGAATTATTGATTATCTGTTTTCTAGGTTAAAAGTGAAAGCCATCTCACATTGTATCACGTCAAATGAAAACCACAAATTACTTCTTGACTCTAAAGAATATATTTATATCTGAATTTTAACACACACACACACATAAGTTGAAATAGAAGCAAAAAAATTATTCATAAAAGTATAGTGTATAGAGAATTTAAAAAATGTAACCAATTTATTAGTGATATCAATGAATTTAGAAGCATTGCTGAGTATAGCAGGTTTTAAATATTTCCATGTTAAATTGTGTCTAAAAATTCTTCATGGCTTAGCTAACCACATGGGCCTCAAAAGTGATGGAGGACTGTACAAGAAAGTGCTGATAAGTTCTTGACCAAGAAGGAATTACAAAAGAAATTCTGTTGTTTGGTTATTTGGTAAGATTTTGGGAAGTGGGTTGAATTGAGAACTTTTCAGGCACCCTCCTTTGTATAAATAATGAGAGGGACATGAGTTCTCCATTTTTCTTGCTCCAAGTTTGGTTCTGACAAGTCACTCACCCAAATCAGTCAGAGTGGGCAGTAAATAAACACAAGACTCACTTTTTTTTAATGTAATAAAACTTTTCATAAAGCAAACTGAAAACATTTGAACACAAATGAGGATATAGAGTTCAGCTTCTAATACAGCATGATTAATGACATTAACTTTGTTTTGAAATCACACAAAGTGTTCGGAGGCCCAATTGAATATCATTTTAATGAAAAATATACTGGACAGCTAATAGTCAAGAGAGAGAAAAGTACTTTACTTACTATCATAACATAACAGCAACTGAAGGCCGTCTGTGTTGGGTAGAATCACCATTGTATGAGGCGTGATAGGACCCTGCGTCTAAAAAGATGATAAAAGTTTTTAGTTTATGGTTTGTTACAAAATAGAGATAGAAAAGCAGATGACAGAAAGCACAGAAAGAAAATAGTTGAATGACAAACAAAACTTTCCATCACAAACAGTAAAAAAAAAGAAAAAAAAAAAAGGGAGGGTCAACAAAATATTAAATAAAGGAAAATATTTAAAAAGTTACCAATATGTGATATGCTATTGTGATTAAAACAGAAATCATCTTTAGAAAATCTGTATCAACCATACCATCAATTCAAACGTTTAAGCAAAACCTCACAAGAATGCTTCAACAGGAAAAGAAAACATTGAATTGTTATTATAAGTATCACACAAAAATGAATTTAACAAAGTAGAGAGATTATGAAATAATCAAAATGAAATGTCCAATTATCATAAAAGGCAGAAACCTACAAGATTAGATATTTTTGGATTATAATTTTCTTAGGATAAACAAAAAATTTTGTTTATAAGAGTATAGACATCTAAGAGACTTTTCAACAAATGGTTTCTCAAGATGATTCCATAAAGATTTTTACCAAGAGTATGTTTGTCGATATTTTTCAGACATTATTCTGGGAACAAAAGTTTTATACATGAAATTATTTTCAGTTGTTAATTGAAGATATTTTAAAATTGCCGAGTTTATCCATTTCCTCCAAAGTCTTTCCTCTTATTTAATATATATATCTTTAAAATTTATTTCTAATGGTTACTCATATTTGAGTAGATGCTCCACTTATTTATTAAACAGCAAATTTATTTTTGTTTACGGCTCTGAATATTTGAGAAATCTTACTAAAGAAAAATATGTGCGCTCTGCTGCCTGGGGGACACGGTTCCAAATCCTGTGGGAAAACGTAAATTTTTTTTTCATTAATAAGATTTCTTGAATATTCAGGCCGGTAGAAGAAAATAAATGAACAGCCTATTCAAATATGAGTATCCACTAAAAATAACACACACCCTATCTATACATACAGTTTTATTGAACTTGTGAAAAACAGCAAAATTGAAGAAAGTTACAATCAGTAAACCTCTTTGCCTTTGGGCATTTTACTGATTGATAAAGCAGTGAACCACATCTCTTATTCAAGATGAACAGCAGGTCTTTTCACAGAAAAGACCATCATTCCATAATTTCTGTCTACATCTGTTTGGCCTTTGCCTGTCAACTTACAATAATATTTGTGTATTTTTCTTCCCAGTCTGCAGTTTAGCAGGCAAATAATACATATTGTATTTAATTTATGATTTCTACATTGACATATCACCTACTCTCTGTATCTCGTAGGAAGATGAAATGCAAGTTCTGATTATATTTATTTCAAGTTCCTAAAAATACAGGAGAGAAGCAAAGAAAGAATAAATGATAAAGTTGCAAATTTGTTGTGGCTTCTGCAGCTGAAGGGTGTGGGGGCGTGTTTGGGGTAAAGGGCCATTTTCGTTATGCCCTGCTATGTTTTGTTAAAGTATATTGAGTAAGTATGAATATAGATGGACAGGCTTTCCATGCACATATATATTTGTTATAGGAAGCTGTTTATGTATGCATAATGTCCCAAGCATTTCACATATGAGCTTTAACTGAACGTGTATGTTGCAAATATGCAGGAGTTTGTAAACTCATGCAGATTAATGTGTACAATGTGCATGGGGAGATGGATAAAGATGAGTGTTATATTTTAAAAAGGATTTTTTTTTTTATGTACATCTATGCAATTTTGAATGAGAGTAGGTTAGGATTGTTAATGTGAGGGTAAATAAGATTATGAATATCTTTTTTTTTTTTTTTTTTAAAATATATATATATATATATATATATATATGTGTGTGTGTGTGTGTGTGTGTGTGCATTAGTGAAGCTGTACCTGAGTGAATAAATGATTTTATATGAATGTATGAAATTCAAAATGTATAAGTGTTTCTTAGTATGTGTGTGTGTGTATATATATATATATATATATATATATGTAAGCTTACTTGAGCGTATATTTGTTGCACATATGTAAGAATGAATATGTTTGTGCAGATAGGTGTGTGCGGGTGTGTATAGATGAAAAAATCTTTTAAGCTGCATTTATTAGTCACAGCAATGAATAAATTATCAGCCTTATTGCTTCAAGATACGCCTAAAGAATTGTGCAGAGGATATCAGATTCAACTGATTTTGGGAATGGTGGGGTATATAAGGATTCTTTTTAATCAGTAAGGAAGAAAGACAGATGTGAGAAGATAAAAAAGACAGGCCAAAGCTAATGAGAAAAGAAGTAAAAAAAAAATTAAAAGAAAAGCTGATATTCATTCTCTAGTGGACAGTGAAAGGAAATATTTACTTTTATTTGAATCAAGAAAGAAGAATGTAAAAATAAGAGGATAAAAGAGTAAAAGAACCAGTGAGAAAGAGAGAAAAAGGATGAGATGAAGAAAGAGGTGAATGAAAGAGATAGGGGTGAGAGTCAATAGAGAGGTGAGAGAGATGCAGAAAGTAGAGAGAAAAAAAATTGAAAATGGTTTAGAGTTAAGGAGGAGTTGGTGGTGGTGGTGGTAGTTAAATAGAAAAAGAAATTTCAGAGATACTTTTCTAAGATATAACCACAACTCATCTTTCCAAATAGCCTGCAGGTTCTGATTTTTATGCACATTTCTTTTCTTTTTAATTTCTTCCTCGCAATTAATTCTTTGTTCTTTCCAATATTATCAACAATTACCATTCCTCCCCCCACATCATTCCCCTTTGTCTTCTTTCTATTTCATTAAGAATACTTTTATAATGGGAAACTCCCAGATGCGAAAATAGGAAAACCAGAATCAAACAAGGATGAAAATCAATGGCACTGCAATATTTCCCAATTTTGCCATTCATTATCCACAATCTAAAATAAACTCTTGCTAAGGGAGAAGAGAAAATCAAAAGGCCAAACCAAAATGAATTTCAAACTGATTTTCTCAAAAACAGTGAATGTCCTCTTGGGATTCTGGCTCCAAAATGGGGAGAAAATCTAACAGCATGAAATCTTGAATCAATTGTGCTAAAATGGCATTTACAATGGGGCCTTTATTGTAAGGTACACTTAGATACAATACCATATCAAATATTAATAAAATACAGGAAAGAAGAAAATTTTTAAATGTTTCTAACAAGTAGCAAATCCAGATAATTAAAAAGTTATCATCCCTCTCCACAACTTTTTATTTTTTATCTGTCATATTTCTTTCTCAAATAGGAATAATCGACTTGATATTTCTGCTTTGTTAGTGCACTGAAACTCTTGAATGACCAGGTTTTGCTGGTCAATATAAACAATTTCACACAACACTGGTTGGTTGTATAGCTGCACAGAATGTCTCTTAGCCAACCATAAAGGCAGAAGCTTAACAAATAAATAAGCCTAACCCAGTTTGGCTGGGACAACAACACACAAGATTCCATTTACAGTAAAAGAGCAATGTGTGGTCAAATAGAGAACCTTGTCTGAAATATTTAGGGAGAGAATCAAAATAGCTACATAGCCAATAATAAAAGCCTTATGGCACTGAAAGAGGACAGTGAGAATGGGTAATAAGAGCAAAAATGGACAGCTATTGTGTTATCCTCAACTGACAAACAAGTATAGCTAGTGAAAAGACAGACATTTTTTTTCATTTTTTGCTTCTTTGCAATTCACCTTTGGAAATCCATTTTTGATTGCTTTTGAAAGATTTCTTCAATAAGTGCTCAATATTATATGTCAATACAACTGCACTTTCCACATGTAAATAAAAAAAAGCACATTATTTTGTGTAGATTTGTATATATTTTTTCTTGGTACTATTGTATTTTAAAGTAGTAGAATAAACTTTAGTGCTAAAGTGCAAACTGTTTTTTTTTTAATTTTATTTGAAAGCTTAGAGAATATTTTTGTTGTTTAATATGCACTATAAACATAATTTCATGATGTCCACCTATCATTCAAATCAATTTATCTACTTGAGTTTCAGAGCTGTTTCTTCCTAAGGAACATGATAAATCCAGTGCAGAACAAAAATCATTAACAATGGCTTGTGAGATGATCTCCACAACCATTCCTCTATGAAAAGTGCTGTGAATCTTAAGTAAGCTTTATAAATAAATGTTTTAAACTCATGAAGTCCAGTGTTAAACATATTTCACAAAATATCCTTGAAGAACTTGAACTTGATATACATACTGGAAATATTACTAAATAAAAAGACATTGTCTTTTCCAAACTAGCCATATCACCTGCTTTCCTAAAAGCGTGAATGTAATTACATCACTGATGACAAATTATTTCTGTTAATCAAGTGATTTTGTTTTATTAAATTTTGCTCTTTTCATCTTTATTTTTTTAGTTAAGGATTGTTCAAATGTAACAGTAAGCAAAAACATTCTCTTTTAATGTTAATTAAAAACATAGTAAAAATTAAATCTTGAACTTTAACCATTAAAAAAAAAACGTGTTATATCAATTTGGTTTTTAAAAAATCAGTCATATTTACTGCATTCAATCTATTTGCATTAAATATATAAATCTTTAAGTTTGATACTTTTAGATGCCAGTGATTAGCTGCAATATTATACTCCTTATGAAATATAATTCCTAACGAGTAAAGATTAGATATTAATGGAAATATCTAGAAATCATGCATTAATCAGAGAAATAGTTTTTTTTTAGTTTTTTTTTTTACTTTTAAGAAAAAATGATTATAAAATTTATCTATGAATGTCCAAGTTTATTATATGTACCATTCATTGGAAATGTAAAATAGAGATTTTGGAGATATTAATATACATATTGGTTTTATAATACCATTTATATTTATGAAACTAGATTATAACTGGAAAAATGTCCTTTAGCTCCCATTCAAATGTATGGACAAAGGTTTACTGTTTTATGCATAGGATATTTTCCTTGTTAACACTGAAAAAATATTGATAACTAATAAATAATAATTTTTTGTTCTTTTATTCTTTTTTCAATGCTTGCTTT